GTTGCCACATGGGCTTGGATGCCTGAGTCTTGGACTTTCTGCTTGGCTTGGTTATACAGTTGGGATTGTGATGTTGTAGTTGGGATTGTGATGTTGTAGTTGGGATTGTGGTGTTGTAGCCTCCTGAATGATCATTGGGAAATGATGGCAAAGATGAAAAAATAGTAATACCCTGTAGTTACTAAGCCACAGGGCAGGAAAAACTCTAGCAAACTTTAGTCCAGTTGTAAGATGGCACCTAGCCATAGAAGCTTAGATCATAGGAACTGGATAAAGTAAAATGTATTTCTGTCCCATCTGGATTGGCTCAGAGGAAAGAGCAGCTGGAGATAAGATAAGCTGGAGATCCACTGTGGTCCCACCATGACAGTTTTTGATTGGGCAGATTTCCACAGAATTCATAGAACCCAAACATAGTATATCATATCTATATGCATATATCTATCTATCTATCCATCTATTTATCATTCATCATCTATCTATGTCTATGGTCTGGATTCCTTATTTTCTATACTTATTTTATATATTTATTCTTTTTTTATATAACCTGTTTCAGGTTATAAATCCTTTAATTCTTAAATTTTATAAATCCTTTAGATTTATAAGAAATCTTAATAATTATTAGCATAGCTTTCCTACAATGTATTTTTCCAGTGCTTCTTAGGTATTTTTGCTTTTTTCTTGCTATTAATCATTTACAAAATTGTCAACTTTTATGGAAATACCAGCTAAATTTGACTCAGATTGCACAGATATCTAGTTTAATTTGAGGAGACTGACATGTTTGTAATATTGACTTTATTTTTTTAAAGAAGACTGTGTGGCCTTGCTTGTGAGATCATTGAAAAATTCTTTAAGAGGTTAGAAATATAGAAGATATAGAAATATTTCTGGCATTCATGTTTTTTTTTATTACTGGGAAAAGAGTATTCTGGACACCGTTCATGAAAAAATTCCAGGCACAAATCTAGTAAGGATTACAAAATAAGTGAAACCAAAGATCAGTAATTTTCTAGAGTACATTTGGAATCAAGTAAAACCTTCTCATCAACATCAATATAACAACACCTTGAACAAGAGCACAGGAACTGCTAATGACCCTCTGTATGTCATCCTGAATGTCCAGGAATAGGAAAGAAAGCAGGACCAGGACAGACCTATTTGAGATAAGAACAGAAATAGATTAAATAGATTTTCAGAAAGTAGAAGCGCAAGACAGACTCAAACTGAAAATTTTCTTGTTTTACTGTTTTTTCCAGTGGTGATAGTAAAGTCAGGCAGTGGTGACCAAAAGGAGGTGGATATAAAAAGGCTGCTCAATGAGGTTTCATTGATATTTCCCTCCCAGATGAGACCCTCAGAACAGGGTGGGTCCAAGGAGAAGTGTGCAGGGAATGGATCAGACTGGAATTTTTATTGGACTTAGGGCAGAAATGGAGGGCTTGGGACAAGAAAGGGGGGTTTCCAGAGTCCCTTGTCCTACTGGGGTTGGTCAAGGGAGCTGGCTAAGATCCAGGATTGCTAGGAGACCCTGGTGATCAGCTGGAGCTTCCCTGGGTGCCTGATTGGTGGTTCTTTTGCTTGGTGCTTTGTTCCTCAGCCACAACCATCGACTTACATCCCAGCCTTTTTGATGATATAGGGCAGCAAATTTTATCTGGCTACTTTCTGCTGGCTAGGGGCTCTGTGGGGGAAGGGGATGGCTCAGATATCAGTTCAGTGGAGAAAAAAAAACTGTAGGAGTGTAGGAGCATCTGATTGTAGGTCACTCTGGCAATTTCACCCATGTGCTTTTGGGTGAACCTGAGGAGTCAGGGAGATTCATTAATAGATGCCCTATGACTAATATAGAAGTGAGAATGGGAGTCAGCCATATAATGAGGACTGAGTTTAGCCAGCCTGGCCAAGGGTCATTTGATTGTTGCTGTTTAAGTCTTTTACCCAAATGATGGAGGGTATCAATATTCTTTTCAACCAATCCAGTTTCATTAATATAGTAGCAGCATTCTTCTTTCAGGAATAGACATGTTCCTCCTTTTTCTGCCATCAGGAGATTAGGGCTCAATGGTTCTGTAATGAAACTTGGGAAAGAGATGTTATCTGCCTTTGTAGGGAAGCTAGAGAGGTGGCCAATGCCTCTACTTCTTCCTGAACTTGTTGTTCAAGCTTCTGAGTAGAGGTTACTGCATAACCAAGTCCTTCTGCCCCAAGTCCAGAGGCAGCAAGGGAGGAGGCCAGGGAGAGTCCAACTACTACTGGTAGAAAGACGGCTCTTCTTGTCCTGGAAATGGAGGTAGTAACAAGCCATGTTAATTCAGCATCACTGCACAGAGTTAATTGAGGGACCCAAGTGGAAGGAACACAGAAAGCAAAGGGCATGTTGAGGCTTAGATTTTTGTTAGGGTACCATTGCATCAGAAAAAGAACCCTGGCAGAGCAAAGGATGGGGAAGAAATTTGAAAAATCGATCAGGGTTCTGAACCACAGGATGTGTAGCAGCAAGGAAATTCCCTGATGAGTTAAAAAGGAGGTCCCTTCTCAAAGGCTAGAGATGGGGTCCCTTGGGGTATGGTTGTGGTATTGAGAGGAAGATCAATGGGAATCACAGTTAATGGAGTATGATCCAAACCTGTGCAGAAGAAATAGTCTGAAATATTATTAACTTTGGATAAATTGAGAAGCTGAAAGCCCTGATGTATTAGGACCATCTATGAAAAAGGGTCAGCTTTAGGATGGGCAACTGCATCCAGATGGTGTTGGAGTTCCTTCTTTTGCTCCTGGATGGTTTTGTGAATTTGAGGGAACACTTGTATATAAGTTCTCCATGTTCTTCTAGGGGCTGAAGGGTGCTTGGCTAAACCCTAAGAATAAAATTTACCATCAACACCAGAAGACCATTTCAGGTCCCATGGGTTCCAAATATTTAATTTGGTGTATGCTCATTTCTCATAGCAAGCCTTATCTTGGATGCTTTTCTTGCATGAATTATAAGGGCAGCCACCATAGGTGTTAGGCCAGTGTTTACAAGATTCCTCAGTTTTTTCTGTTATAAAGCACATCTTTACTGCACATAGGTGGGATGAGGTGACCAGGTTGAATCCAGTAATGTTAAGGGTGACTGCCTGATTGCAGCCAGTGGAAGGGCAATCATCTTAACCCCAAAACTGAGAGTGGTGGTGCCATCCTGGTGCCATGTTGCTTGGGTGTAGAAGTGCCATCAATGGGTTGGGATAGAAGCTTGAGAGAGGTTAATGATTAGTACAAGAAGCAGAGGGTTGGTGAGAAATCCAGGGAGGTTCCAATGATTGAGGATGCAGCTCCCATAGTAAGACTGTCACCCGGTTGAAGAGTGTCTGATTCAGTTTGTGGTTGTGCTGGGTTTGAGGGAACAGATGACACAGGAAGGCACTGGTCTTTGTGTTCCCTTAGAATTTTGTGTAGAAGTGTGACATGGGGCAGGTAGGACACAAGGGGAGGAGGGGTGATCACAAAGCTTCAGTTGATTAAGAAAGGGTGCTCATAGTGTAGCTCAAAGGAGCTCAGGCCTGAAGGGGCTTTAGGGGCTGCCCTAGTTTGGGTGAGGGCCAATGGCAGGAGATTGGGCCAGGACAGCCTGAGTTCAATAGAAAGTTTAGTGAGATGATCCTTGAGAATGCCATTAGCCCTCTCAACCTTACCCAAGAATTGGGGTTGGTAGGGGATGTGGAGCCTCCAAGTTGATGTTGAGACCTTTGGAGACTAGTTGAACAACCTGAGAAGTGAAGGCTGGACTGTTGTCTGACTGAATGGTGGTGGGAAATTACCAAACCTGGGAATGATCTGCCCAGTGAGGATGGAGGCTATGGTGTCAGCAGTTTCCCTGGAGGTAGGGAAGACTTCTATGCAATTGTAAGAGAGTGCTATCCCCCAAGTACAAGCAATCACATCCTGGGTCAAGGCTTGCCCAAAGAGGTGGGGACTGTTCCTGGAGCCTTGGGGTAGGACTGTCTATGTCAGATGTTGAGACCTAAAGGATGTAGGGTCTTCCCATGTGAAGGCAAAGAGGTAATAAGAGTCAGTATGGAGGGGCACTGTAAAGAAGGCAGCTTTAAGATCCAGGACATCAAAGTGAGTGGTCGAAGGGGAGATATGAGAAAGAAGAGTGTAAGTGTTGGGAACCACCAGGTGGATGGGAATAACTGCCCTATTAATTAGACAGAGTTCTTAGACTAAGCCATAAGCTCCTGAGGGTTTGCGTACTGGCAGTATGGTAGTGTTGCGGGGAGAGTCAGTAGGAATGAGGAGTCCCAGGGCAAGTAGCCGGTCTGTGATGGGTTTAAGTTTATCTATGTAAGTTTTGGAGATGGTAAATTGGGACACACAAAAACTTTAGTTTGGGATTTCAGCTGGATAAGAACTGGCTTGTGGTGGGAGGCTATAACTGATTTGGAGGTGTCCCAGACTTGGGGATCAACTAGATCAGGGGACAATGATTGGCAGAGTAGATACTGTCAGTTTATTAGAGAGAGTAAGGATTAGAGGCAGAAGAAGGTGGGTGGTATTATTCTTGGGGTGTAGTTGGAGGGTGGCTCCTAGTAGTTGGAATAGTTGGAGAACATCTCTGCCTAGGAGAAGAACCAGACAGATTGGAATAAGCAGAAAGAATGTGTGAAAGGATGTCCCTCCAGGGCACAGGCCAGCTTAGCAGTTCAGTTTGGAAAGGAGGGTTTGCCAAAAATCCCCATAACTGAGACCTGGGAAGGAAACAGAGGCCCTGAGTGAGCAGGCAATAGGTAGCCCCCTTTTCCACAAGGAAGGTTATGGACTTATCCACTACCTGGAGTGGTACCCTGGACTCTGGGAGGATGATAAGTGTCCTCAAGTCCAAGGTTCTTCAGTCTTCTTTGAAACCCAATAGTTCAAGTGAAGGAACCACTTGGCTGGTCATACCCCCACATGGAGGAGATGAGGAAGGGCCAGCCATAGGGCAGTAACTCTTCCAATGTCCTGTCTGCTTACAGGTGGGGCACAGCCTGGATAGGGGTTGTGGGTTTGGGCATTGGCAAGTGTAGTGAACTTCGCATACACATTTGAAGCAAGCCTCTGGTGAAGAGAAATGCTGGTTCACTGTGAAGCTCTCGCCAGAGCTGTAGGCCTCAGAGCTGCTGCCAAGGCCTGGTTTTGGAGTGTTACCTTTTTCTGCAATTGAGCCTGCCTGGCTAGTTCAGCCAACTCATCCCAGGCATTGTAGATCATTTTCACCAAATATTGGATAGGGGTCTGAGGGCCCTCCTCAGCTCCTTTGAGCTTTTTTCTAATATCATGGGCCAATTGAGTAATGAAATGAGTTGCTAACACTGTAGCTCTGGAGAAAGACTCTGCATATTTGGTGAGGGCCTCTTTAAGGTGGTTGAGAAATAAGGCTGGATTCTCATCTGGATCCTGGGTAATTTCTCTCAGCTTGTCAGAGTTAACCTGACACCTTATTGGAAACCACCTGCATGCCAGCTATAAGTTATTGGACCATGAAGCACAGTGATGATGACTTTATTGGCCATCTTGATAGTCTCAGTTGGGTTCAGTTAGGGGAATGGCTGCTTCACCTGTAGGGAGACTCATATCTGTTAGACGAATTTAATCAGCATGATCTAATGCAGCTAGCTGGATGAGGGCTCACTCATGGGGGGTAAAGGTGGAGGAGAGAACCATATAGATGTGATGCCAGGTAAGATCCTAAGTCTGAGAGTGGTATTTGAATTCCACAATATGAGTAGAAATGTCAGCAGAGAAGGACCCAATGTGCTTTTTGATCTGGGAAAGATATAAAGGGAGAATGAGACATATACTTGGACAATCCCTTCAGCACTAGCCACTTCCCTGAGAGGACAAATGGGCTCTGGGTTGCTGGTAAAAGGGCCTGGTGGGACCGGATGTGGGCAATGACAAAAGAAAAGAGAAGTTAGTGGGTGGAGGTTTCCTTTGAGGGGAGAGGGTTAGGGTTGTATGAATAGAAGAGGTGGGCAGGGAATTGTGGCTGCAGGAGAGGAAGACAGAGAGAAAGGGAAAGGAATGGAGGGGAAGAGTAGAAGGAGGAGGAGGAGGGGAGGGTGTATGTGTGGGAGGGGAAGAAGGAGAGGATTGACCTGGGTAGGGAGGGGGAAGATGGGAAGATGGAGCTGAGATCAGCTGAGATGGACCTGAGAATGAGGAAGGAGAAGGAGAAGAACAAAGGGGAAGGGATTTCCTAGCAAGGAAAACTTTAGCAGTTGGACAGGTAGAGCAGAGGGGAGGACAAGAATGAACCTCAAAAAGCCCGAATGTGCCTCCGGATGTAAGGAACTTCTGCCCACTTCCCTGTTTGGTGACAGAAATTGTCCAATTCAGTGATAATTTAAAAATCAGAAGTTCTTTCTGGGGGCCATTGTGCCCTATGGTCTAAGTCACACTGGGGCCAGGCCACAGGGGAGTAAAAGACAAGGCGGTTACAGTGTAGGTCTTGAGTGAGCCCTAACTTGTCAAAAGACACCCCAAAAGAGTTTTGGGGTCTAAGGAGAACTCAGTATTCTCCATGACCTTCTGGCACCTTTGAGGGTGGGTGGGGGCAGAAAAAGTCACCCCAAATTCTTACTGCACTCACTCAAGGAACAGATGAGGGCTGGGCAGGTGTTTCTGTATCTCTAAAACTCACTGTGGACCCAAAAGTATCAGAATATCTCACACAAGGACCAGGATATCTTCATAGCTCCAAGGACCTTGAACAGAATGAGTGGGGTGGGGGGGGGTCTATGGCTCACGTGTGACTTATGGATAGACCCACCTGACAGAAAGGGGCTGGAAAGTCAGAGGAAATGAGGAAACTTACTGTGGACCTGGATAAAAGGAGAAGGAAAGAAGGAGCAGCTTAGGAATTTTCTGGTTTGTTTGAAGGAGAGGATGGACCTCTTCCCCAGATGTAAGTTATGGGAGAGGCCTCAAAACCCTCTCAGGTTTTGTCACCAGATATAAGGCTAGGCAGCAGTGACCAAAGAGAGGTAGATTTTAAAGGCTGCTGAATGTGGCTTCATTGAGATTTCGCTCCTGAGCAAGACCCTCAGACCAACAGGGTGGGTCCAAGGATAAGTGTGCAGGGCTGGACCAAATTGGAATTTTTATTGGGCTTAGGTAGGAAGGGATGGCTTGGGACAGGAAAAGGGGGTTTTCACAGTCCTTTGTCCTACTGGGGTTGGTTGGGAGAGCTGGCTGAGATCCAGGATTGACCAGGAGATTTACTGATTGGCAGGCAGTTCCGTGGGTCCTAATTGGTGGTTCTTTTGCACAAGCAGATTGCTTGGTGTTTTGTTCCTCAGCCACCCCCACTGACCTAACAGTGGTGGTGGTGCTACTTTACAAATTATTTTACTGTGCAAACATAGAAACAGGTAAGTTATAAAGCAAATATATAAAATTAATGGAACAAATATACAATCAACACCAATGTAAAAGTGTTGACTGCCATTCTTCCTGGAGTGAGATGGTATCTTAGAGTAGTTTTAATTTGCATTTCTCTGATTGCGAGAAATGAAGACCTTGTTTTCATATATTTGTTGATTGATTGTACATCCTCTTCTGAGAAGTGTCTGTTCAGGTCTCAGGCCCCATTTGTTGATTGGATTATTTGCTTTTTTTGTATCTTGTTGAGTTCTTTATATTCCCTAGATATTAGAGCTCTATCTGATGTGTGAGGGGTAAAAATTTGTTCCCAGGATGTAGGATCCCTATTCACCTCACATATTATTTCTTTTGCTGAGAAAAACTTTTTAGTTTGAATCCATCCGATTTGTTGATTCTTGGTTTTAATTCTTGTGCTATACTCACTAGTCTTCTAAATCTGGGTTTATATTAAAAAGTTAAATTATTCTTAAGCACATCCTTTAATCTGAAAGAATAGTTTTCACTCTAACTACAGATTTTATTTCTATGTTTCCCAGTTTTCAATCTCTTCTACAACAATTAATTAATTAAAAAATAAAAACAAAGAAATAAGAGTTAAGTGAAGAAGTAGGAGGCAGAAGAAAGGAGAGAGAAGCAGAGGTGGGAGAGAGAACACGCCCATGGGAAGAGAGAGAAGGACAGCAAGTCATACAGAACATCAGAGTCACAAGGGATAATAGCTAGTATTTAGTTCTCTAGTCATTTTAAATATAAGGACACCAAGGCCAGGGTAACTCAATGCAGGTGTTCCATTTAGGAGATCACCATGAAGCTCAGGCCGAATGTCATTTAACTACAAGAAATTTTCTGTGAAAAAAAAACAACAGGCCATATATAGGGAAGTCAGAAGGGCAAGAGAGAAACTTGAGGAAGTGTGGGAGGGGGAAGGAGAAGCCCAGTACAGGAGGGAAGGGTGTTGGAAAGGGAAGAACTGGGAGACAGGCAAGCAATAAATGAAAGAGGGAGACCAGGAAGAGATACAAATGAGAGTTTACTTGTCAGAGCTGACAAATAAAGGCCACCTCTCCATAGACAAAGAGAGACAATACAGGCCTGAATTTGGGGGCTTTTTTTTGTGCCAAGCTCATGGATCAGAGCTTAGTGGGTCCTAATGCAGGTATTTTAAGGGTGGGGTTGTTATGAGAGAGTGGATTCACACTTGGGCAGAAATGAATGTGGGCAGTGAAGGATGGGTGTACATCAATCTTCTGTAGTTTCCTCCTCCCGGGAAAGGGCAGAGTCTGGAAACTTGTATGGGCTCCAGGTGTCACTGAGGCATTGGTGATGGTCAGGAGGTGCCCATTGATGTTGACTCTGGGTGGCCCAATTTTGGTGAGGGGTTAAAAGTCCTATTACAGAAGCTGGTTCATGGTTTGGTTAGAAATCCTTTGAATGTGGTCTTGAATAGGTCTAATGATGCAGGGGGAAAGCATTAACAGAAGGTCTATGACAAGGAGAGAAGTCAGAAAATAAAGTGCCCACTGTAAAAGGGGGTTACTTAGCTGTCATTCTTCAGCAGAGGAGAGCTGTTGTTTCAGGTGTTCAAGGTCCTGTTGGCATTGTTTTATCTTGTCCTTTATTATACCAGACTGATTGACATACAAATAGCCCTCCAGACAAAGTCTTCCTTTTTCAGCAATAAGAAGATCAAGGCCCCTTTGATTCTGCAGAAGTTAAAGAAGGAAGCTATGGTTAGACTGGTTAGAATAAGGAGGAGGACAACCACAAAAAAGGGAAGGAGGGCACTCATGGTTCTCCAGTGTCCTCGTGGCTCTCAGAGATTGAAGGAAGATTGGTGGTTCTGGCCTTGGAGAAATGCAGCTTGAGAAGACCTGTGGGTGTCATTGTGTAAAGGGCAGAGAAAACCATTTTAACTGGGAATTATGACCCCAGTATGAAATGCCCTCAAGGTGGGCCGCCAAGGGAGTGGTAAGAATGATCTGATAGGGTCCAGTCCATTTTGCAGAGAGTTGAGAGGAGGAGGGAGGGCCTGTTGTGGGGGGGGTGAAAAGGTAGCAGGGCACCAGGAGACTCAGTGGGAGAAGGGGAAGAGGCAGAACTAGGTTTTGCCAGAACAGCATTTCTGTATTGACAAAGAAGGTTCTTAATGTATGCAAGAAGGGGCCAGAAAAGATGAGAAATAGAGGTAGTGGAGAATCAGAGGGTGGTGAGCTGAGCAGAGATATAGGTTGTCTACATAGAAGCTCAAAAGGGGAGATCTTAAGTGTCTTCTTTTGAGAGCCTGTAATCTAAGAAAGACCAAGGGAAGGAGTTTAGTCCAATCTCAATGTCTACCTTGCCAGAGAACTAGGGATGGTAAGGGATATGAAAATGCCAGGAGATGGTGAGGGCTTTAGCTACAGACCTTGAGACATGGGAAGAATTCGACTGGAGTGGGGAGGGGAGGGGAGGCCAAATAAACAGAATACAGGTGGGCAGAAATTGGAGATAGAATGTGGGGTTGGGAGTTCCCCATAGTCAGGAAGCGTGTTGGAGTGGCTAGAGGCAGGCATTTCTCATCTTTAGGCAAAACCAGAGTAGGGGGCTGAAGCTATAGAGGGGACAAGAGTAAAAAGTTGTCATCACCATAGGATTTACTGGCCCTGAGGCTGAAGCCTTGTGGGGACTAAAAGAACGACCGAACAAGGCTTGTCGTCAGAGAAAATGCCCATTTATTGGAACATTACAGCGTACATTTATAGAGTCCAAGAAATTCAAAAGAGCCAGTTTGAGTATGGGGCATTCCCTGATTGGTGGAGGAAGGTCATAAGAGTCAACAAGGCTAAACATTGATTGGCATTTTTCCCATGGGCACCTGGTAGGTTTCCAGTGGGCACCAAATGCTGAGGCCAGTTCCTGCTGGCGCCAAATGCTAAGGCAGGAAGAGAAGCACTGTGAGCGCCATCTTTGGGGCCTGAGCAACTCCTAATAGGGACTAAGAGAAGGGGGTCACATCTGCTACTTCCATAGTCCCAAGCTTTGCCCAGTAAAGTGTCCTGGTTGCCTGGCCAGGGCTTTCAAGAGCTCTGCTGAGGTGAGAACCAAGCCCAGAGAGTGAACTTGCCAAAGGGAAGGGATGGATGAGAAGCCATGGTCAGATATCAGG